GTACAGAAAATACTTCATTGAACCGTGATGTTGATTCACGTGGGCAGTTAGTTGAAGAGACAGAGGTTTGTACTTTTCTTGAACGTGAATTTTTAAAATTTCTTGTGTGTTCCAAATGTGTATTCTTCACTGCTGGGCCGGCAACTGGCCGGTTGAGCAACCCCGGACCAACCGGAGCCGGACCAGACCAGGGGGGGTGAACCGGAAAACCGGTTTTGAAAAACAAATGCCCAAATATATATATATATATATTTTTTTTATGACAGATTCTGACTGCGCTTTTCAAGAGCTGTCCGAATCCGTAATAAAATTTTCAAGGTACATGTATATTTCGACATCAAAAAAGTTATGGTTCCAGCTTTCTGCTTGTGGAGGCAGAGCGTTTTCTGTTTGTTGGTTTCTACATAAGGTGAGTTGTCAGTCCGGAAGTATCTTGCTTGGCAGTCTGTCCAGATACATGTAGTGGAGCAAGGTCCATTCGAGATAGATAGAGAGAAGAATATGGGCCTCGCTGCACTACTCTCGAAATGTGCAAAACGATAGTGAATCTTCAGCTATAATTCGGAAAGATACACCGCCAAGATTTTTGTCTTTTGTGCATGTCGAGAGTAGTGCAGCGACGCCCTATAGCTTAGGTCCATTCTTGGGATTGCACCTCGGACGGCTCTGAAATCACAATTCCAAAATCCAAACGCATAACGTTTTTTCCAGAGATGGCAGGGACATCGCAAAAGGATATAATCTCAACAGAGTTTCATCAGAAGCATAGTGTTCCCCTCGTGGCCGAGGGTTAAAGAACATCAAATGTTGCCGCTGGTAACTGGTCCATTGGACCACAAGATGACAAATTGGATTAGGGGCCTATCTGACCCACATCTTAAGAAAAATGTATGGCCGCTGTTGATCTGCACAGATCAGCGGCGGATATCCTCTGTCCGTTTTTCTTATAGAAATGGGGTCCTGGCCGATCTTTGTCGCTGATCCGCGACGATCGGCGGCCAAGATTGGCCACTTTCTGTACTTGAAAAATCCGGGCCTACAGGACCCGGTTTCGAAATTTGCGGGGCAGGGCCCGCCCCCACAAGGCCTTGGGAACACATACGCGCCGACAAAAAAAATAAAATTCAGCCCCCAACGAAAATGCGCTGGGGGCAACCGGGAGGGAACTGGCCCGGGCCACCGGCCGGTCCAACCGGGAGGACCGCGGATGGGGTAGGGGTCCCCGGTTCATCCGGGGACCAGCCCTGGTATTCTTTGATTAGTGGCACAACTGGTTATGTAACCCAGTTACAGTGACAGGTCACAACAAACCAGTTAGTCTATTATTGGTTATGGTATCTGCAATCTCTTATTAGAATTCAGTGCAGCAACCAGTTGGCAATGTAGCATTGAGCATTGTGTATCTGTTTTTTTGAGTCTCTGTTTGTTAGTGTCTCACATATTGAGCATTCCCTGATTGAAGGTGATGTTGGTTTTTCATGCATTGTCTGTCTAACTTTCTTCGGGCGCCCTGCCCAGGTAAGGACCACGCCCGGGGTACCTTGTGCACGCGAAAAAAAACACTGATGTTTTTTTTTGCACAGCTAGACCTTGCTGCGCTTTGGGAGTAGTCTTAAAATCCGGCCTCTATTTTTATTTTCATTCATGTTGATTTTTGTGTATTGAGGGTAACGGGGGGGGGGATTGGGGTGCAAGATGGGGCTGGATTATGCACTGTCCGTTTGTCAGGTGCCGGATAAAGTAGTTGTTGTGTCCTACCTGTGCTGGTGCGCGAGGTTAGAGGAAGGACGAAGGATGGAGTAGCATCGTGTCAGAGGGAGGAGGGAGGGGCACCATGTCAGAGGATGGAGGGAGGACAAAGGAGTGAGACATCAGAGGAGGGAGGGAGGAGCGACGAGGCGAGGTGATGGAGAGGGTGAGAAGAGGGAGGAACACCACGTCAGAGGAGGGACGAGAAAGGAGGGAGGAGCGCCACATTATAGGAAGGGAGTAGGGCAAAGAAAAAGAAGAAAAAGAAGAAACACAGAAAAATAAACATAAAAAGAAGAAACAAAGAAAAAAGAAGAAAGTGAAACGAAGGAGAAGAAATGGGGGAGTGATGGCGCGGGCGCAAGCGGTGACAGGCGGGGCACTGGCGTCATTGGGCAGCATCAATGGCGGGGTGCAGGTAGTGAGATTAATGGTCGTAGTGACGTAGTGGGGCAAGGCGGAGGGCGGAGTCGGGTGGGGTACTGGCACGGCACAGGCTGGGTGTTACATCTTCGACGCACACGGGCCCTACCGGACCCGACTTAGGGTCGGAGGGACACATCAGGGCCTAAAGGCCCGACCTTTGGATAGTACAGGCCCTCAGGGCCTGATCTTGGACCAGTACCCAACGGGCAGGCCCAAACGGCATTATCGTTTGGGCCTGGCGGCGCTCTTGAGGCTGCCGCCCGCCGGTTGGGGCTGAACCGTCCATCTGGACGGTTCAGGGCATGGCCAGGCCTCGCAGCATTGAGGCCGGCCTCTGCCCCACCGGTATAAAGTACCGGTACAGCCTCACTACGAGGCATCGACCTACCGGCACTATACCGGTACGGTATGGTCCGCGCCAGAGCGCTGTGTTGATGCGCTAAGTTTAGCGCAGGAGTGAGAAAGGAGCAGCAGCGGCAGCGCAGCATTAGCGCAGCAGCAAGCGGAGCAGCAGCAGGGCGACTGAGCCAGCACGGCGGCCATTGCCGCCTGAGGTACCTGGGAGCCGGAGGACCTCTCCTCCCTCCCTTGTCAGCTCTCTCTCTCTCTCTCTCCTCCTCCTCCTTCTTCTTCATCTTCTTCTTCTTCTTCTTCTTCTTCTTCTTCTTCAGACTAGAGACTTATGCTAGTTGGACAAAGATCAGAGTTGGACTTCGGTGATATGAGACTGTGGTACTTACCAGATTGGAGACTTGGAGATCGTTGGGGTTGATACTTGGCGACATCACAGTTCAGACACCGGTTACATTTGGACTCTGTATCCCCGACATTGGTGACCTATGGTCCTCGACATTTTGATCTTGTTGGACGACATTTTGGACTACCATATCGGTGACCTATCAGATTCACTTGGTGACTTTCGGTGCTGTCTACCTCCCCTCACCTCTTCGTCTCTCCTCCCCCATTCATCTGTGTATGTGTGTACGGGGCTGAGCATCTTCTATGTATGGCTCAGACCCCACCATCTCACGATTGAATGTGTGTGGAGTGATGCTATGTGAGTCAGTCTATGTGAGTCAGTCCGTTTATCAGACTTCCGTTGCATCTATACTCATCCTACATTGGTTGATTCTTGGTTCTGGCCATACTCATTGGAGTATGCAACAGTTTTGGTATCGGAGCAGACCAATAACGGATCTGCTCACCAGGTAAGTCGGTTTAGAAGTAGATTATTTGTTTGACCTTCTAAATCGACGCTGAATTATTATCAAGTTCAAAGTTGCAAAATTTTTTCTTTTCGGTACTCTATTTAGTTCGGCATTCCCGTTCAATTCGGTATTCGGACTTATAATTCGGATTTCTGTTTTCTTCCAGTATGCTGCTATTTGAGTTCCGATTGAGTAATACTAATCCGATAATTGATTAAGTTTCGGATTTCTGATGTTACAAGAATTAGGGTTGAATCAGTATCATGTTGAAATTCGGCGTTTCTGATTTCCATTCAGCATTTTTGTTGTAAATCCTATATTTCGTTGTCTTTTGGATTTCCGTTGTCTTTCAGTATTGGAAATTAGGGTTACGAAAATCTTCGGGTCTTAGATCAACTTGGGGAAATTCGAACGTTTTGGGACTGTAAATCCGGAAATTTCGCCGAAACGCGGAAAATTAGGGTTGGGACCGAAATTTTCGCGATTTTTTTTTTCGTTCTCCTTGTTTGAGAAATTCCGAAAATAGGTTTAGGCTTTTAAAAATCGGATTTTGACGGTGGAAATTCCCGAAAATTCGCGTTTTTGAAAATTCAAGTGTTTTTTCTTCTGAAATTTTCCGATTTTTTTTTTAGCACACTAAGCCGTATCTGACCCTCAAACTGCAACTTCCGGGTAGTTCACTCAGTAACGGTGAACTCCCGGACTCAAAGTGATCTCAAAGAGACCCAATCATAATACCTTTCAAATTCGTTTATTAATTGGTTATCTTTATTACAAACATTGTTTTACTGGTTATTATTACTTGTTTATCTTTATTACAAATATTGTTTTACGGATTATCATTCGGATTTATTTCGTTAATTATCATTAATTATTTTTATTGATTAAATCGTTATTGATTCCTTATTACGAAATTTTTTTGAAGGGTTTACGGGAAATTTATTTTTTTCCTGTTTGATTAGGTTTCTACAGTCCATCAGTGGGACAGGGGATTGTATGTATATTGCTTGATTGTTCTACCCCTGTTCCCACTCTACCTACCCCCCTGTAGTCTGTGAACACCGGCACCTCTCAAGTACCTCATCAGTTCAGACTGATGTCGACGGAACAGGACACCGGGGCACTGCCACGGCGCAGTGCCAGGATCGCAGTTCGTGCCCGCCCTGCGGTACCTCCAAGACCCAGGAGATTCAGCAGATGGACGACTCTAGCGGCATCAAGTACGGCATTGATAGTACAAGACACCACCGGAGATTTTCCCGCATGCCCGGTCCGAGAGGCCGGCGAGTCTTGGGCTGACTATCGAGGGCGGCTACAGGCATTTACAGACGCCGTAGCCGCCGCCGAGGCTCAACAGGCTGCGGCAGAAGCAGAACGTCAGCGGCTGGCCAACAAAGCGACAGCCGAAGCTCAGCGGACAGCTGAGACTGACGAAGCGGCACGAAACAGACGGAATGCCGCCAGCACGGAGTCCCTGATTGCTAGTGAGCATCAGTGGACAACGGTACTCCAAGGYATGATCTTTGTGCCTACGGAAACGCAGGCGGAGCCGACACAGGCGGAGGCAGAGAGAAGTAACCTGGCTACCGTGATGCTGAACGTAATGAGGGGAGTAATGTGGAACAATAAACTACTGTAGGCACACCTGCACGCCGATTGTCAGCAAAGACAGCAGTACCAGCAAGACCTGGCCGCTGTAACGACCGACGTCCGCGAGGCAGCAGTGCAGCAGCAGCAACAGCAACAGCTCATGAACTCTACCATCGCACGCATCAACGGCATTGAGGCCAAGGCCTCAGCAGCGCCAAGCTGCACGACGGACGAGACGAAGCAAATCAATGAACGCATCGATCACGTCGTCACCATCATCGGCGACATAGGTGTTTTCAACGGACCGGACACGATCAGCAGCACGGTGGCCGCCCTCAAGACGGACATCACCAAGCTACAGACGAGACCGGACGCCGCTACAAAGACATTCAAGATGCCGCACTTCGACATCTGCAAGTTCGACGACTACAACAAGTCAGACGCTTTGACATGGTGGCAATGTTTCCTCACGGAAGCGTCATGCCGCACTGTCCCGACGAACGACATGTTGAAGGCACTCTATTTGCAACTGATTGGAGGAGCGCAGGCATGGATGAACCACCTGACGGCCACCCACAAGTGCACCATCGCCGAACTCCACACGCACACCACGTGGAAGGAGTTCGAGCAGCTATGGTTCACCCGGTTCATGGTCCGCAACGTCGTGAAGGCGACCATGAATGAGGTGTACACATGCTCTCAGGGGAACATGCCAACTCGARACTGGACAACGAAGTGGCAAAAGATAGTGAGCACGCCAGAATTCGATTTGAGTTTTCCAAATCAACGATCCGAGTTCTTCTCGCGATCGTGCGCGGGATTGAGGTCGGCAATCGGTAATGAGTACGACTATACCACATTCCAGGCCATTCTGGATCGAGCGAACTTGGTCATCTAAACGGACGATAAAGCCGCTAACGAGAGACAATCCCAACCGCATTATGTGGCTAAGCAGGCCTATCAACGTCCGACACATAGCAATGCCGTGATTTCTGAGGAAACCGACGACCACCACGCTGCAGCAGCATCCTCGGGTGATGGAGGAATTGTCGCAGCGCTCCCCCCGAAGCGTCCCAAGAAAGTTCGTAAGAACAAGGCGACACAAGAGACGGCAGCGACGGGAGCTGGGCAGCAGCCATGGACGGCATATAAGATCACCAAGGAGGTCTATGACCTACGTCAGAAGTACGGATACTGCCTTTGGTGCAACGGAGTCACTCATGTGACCGCACAATGCCCCGAAAAGGGCAAGGCATGCGTACCCCGTCCAGCAAACTCGGGAAAGTGAGTTACGCAAGGAGAGGGGCGACGTCTCTCCTCACTCCGCCGGACCCGGTTGCCTTGCTAGCAATCGWTGTCACTACCGGGGAGCATGCGTTAGTCGCTGATTCTCGTGCTACGTACGAGGATTATGCCGCCCAGCTGGTACCACCATTAGACCAGCCTAGCCACGTGCATGTAGATTGCGTATGCGCAACCTGTACACCGTCGGCAAGTGATCCGGTCAGTTCGCCGCTGCTTTTCGAGGACTCGACGGCGTGGTCAAGACTTGAGGAGCTTGACCCAACTGGACGGCGAGGTCAAGACTTGAGGAGCTTGACCCACTCACGAGAGAGGATTTCGCTTGGATACCTCTACCCTCGACCGGAACATTGCCAAGGCCGCATTGCAACGCCTTGATGGCAAATCTACGCTTCAACTTGCACACTACAGTACCAGCTCCGTTGATGGACGACGTGGTAGCGGTTGTCGATCTCCGCTCCTATCTTGCGAAGATCGACCGCGAGCACGCCACCCAAAGGTACGCCGAAACCGATGCACCTTTGCTCTATATCCGCATTCAAATCGGAAAGGCAACCTGTAGTGCCTTGATTGATTGCGGAGCGTCTCGCAACTTCATGAGTCAAGCCTTTATGGCCCGCGCAGGTCTTGGCCCGCGCGTTCGAAGAAAGACSCAACCTACGCAAGTTACACTCGCGGACGACCGCACGCAAAAGTCAATTGACCGATGCGTTGACGGCGTTCCGGTCTACTTTGCGCCACTTGCGTGCGAGCCGGTGTCTTTTGACATCCCCGACACCAAGTTCGACATGATTCTAGGCATGTCTTGGTTGCGTAGCGCCGATCATCCGGTGAACTTCCATGACCGAACCGTTCACATCCGTGATCGGAACGGAGTGTTAGTCCCATGAACGGTCGAGAACCCCTCACACTTCGATTGCTTGTCACGTGGTTTCCATTGCGCGGATTCGCGACGCCATTGCTCGGAATGACGTCGAGGAGATGGGCCTTGTATTCTTGCATGCTCTCCCCTCGCCGGACGGACCAGCTGCGTCACCGCCGGACCCACGCATTTCTCACCTCTTGGACGAGTATAGAGACGTCTTCGAGGCTCCCACCGGAACGGTTCCGGATCGGCCCATACGTCACGGGATCACTCTCTAGGCTGGTGCCGTCCCTCCGCGTGGATGTATCTACCGCATGAGCGAAGAGGAACTCGAGTGCTTCGCGCACAACTCGATGATCTTCTCAACAAGGGTTGGATTCACCCTAGTTGCTCGCCATACGGTGCACCTGTTCTCTTCGTCAGATCTACGGTTATGCATCGACTATCGGAAACTTAACGCACAAACCGTAAAGAACGCCGACCCTCTCCCTCGGATTGATGATCTCCTTGAGCGGTTAGGCGGCGCGACGTACTTCTCGAAGTTGGATTTGAAGTCAGGTTACCACCAGATTGAAATCCAGCCTCAAGACCGGTACAAGACCGCATTCAAGACGCGGTACGGGCATTTTGAGTGGGTCGTCATGCCATTTGGACTCACCAATGCCCCCGGAACGTTTCAAGCAGCGATGACGACTGAGTTTCGCGACTTGCTCGATCGCAGCGTCCTCATCTACCTTGATGATATCTTTGTTTATAGTAGGATGTTGGACGAGCACATCGTACACCTTCGCGTTGTTTTGAATCGTTTGCGACTAGCCAAGTACAAAGCGAATCTCGACAAGTGCGTATTCGCCAGGCAAGAGCTTGAGTACTTGGGCCATTTTGTCACGCCGAAAGGCATTCGTCCCTTAGCGGACAAGATCCAAGCCATCGTGGATTGGCCGGAACCCCGTTGCATTACGGATGTACGCTCTTTCATGGGTTTGGCTGGATATTATCAGCAATTCGTCGAGTCATACTCGAAAGTGGCCGCTCCTTTGTCAAGACTTCAGTCCCGAAGGTGCCTTTCGAGTTCGACGACGCAGCCCGTGGCGCGTTCAGTACGTTGAAGGCAGCGATGCAAGCTGCACCTGCCCTCCGTATAGATGACCCCACCCTACCCACCCAAGTGACTACGGACGCTTCGGGATACGGTATTGGTGCGGTGTTGGAACAGTGTCACGAGGACGGTTGGCATCCGGTTGAGTATTTCTCCCAAAAGGTGCCTCTCGTCAACACTCTCGACGATGCTAGGAAGAAAGAGCTACTTGCGTTCGTCACCGTTCTCAAACGGTGGCGCCACCTTCTTCTCGGCCGTCGGCGGTTCAAATGGAATACGGACAACAATCCGTTGACCTTTTATAAAACACAGGACGCGGTCACTAGCACGATCGGTCGATGGATGTATTACATCGACCAGTTCGATTTTGACCTGTGTCACATTCCCGGTCCCGCCAATCGAGCTGCGGACGCCCTCTCACGACGGCCCGACTTTTGTGCCATTGTGACCACGACATTCGACCTCGATGATGATCTGCAGCAACATTTCGTCAAAGGCTACAAGTCCGATCCGACTTACTCTACGCTTTACGCAGAGCTTTCATCGGATCACCTGCCGGCTAGCCACTATCGGATTTCCGACGGGTTCCTTCTCCTTCACACGAGAGGAAAGGACTTGTTAGTTGTGCCCCAAGATCGCATCTTACGGACTCGTCTTCTCGGCGAATTCCACGACGCA